TTAAGAGTGCCCATTGTCTTCTGCCTCACATAACTTCTATTGATAAGTCTGTAATATTACTTGTTTTGGTGACTGTTCATATGTCTTTTTTCTTACAGCTTTTTACTAGATTTTCTTTCCATAGCTTATTTTAAGCAATTTCATTATGATGTGCCTTTTCTAATCCTTCTTGAGTTTTTTCCTACCTCCTTAAATATGTGTTTGTAGTTTTCATCCAATTTGATGATTGTTTTACCATTACGTCCTCAATAAATATCCTTTCTTCCATTATTTCTTCTGGTACTCCAATTCCATGTGCGGTAGATTACTTGAATTTTCTCATGTCATTGGGGTTCTATTAAATTTTCCAACCTTTTTTCTCTTTGTGCCTCAGGTTGAATATTTCTATTGCTATGTCTTCGAGTTCACTGGTGCTTGCGTTTCTCTGCAATGCTGTCATTCCATCCATTGAGATGGTGTTTTTTAAATGTAGAGGTAACACTGGGTCCTTTGGTGTTTTATCTTCTTCCTCCGTGTATTTGTGCTTTCTTCAATTCCAGGAGCATATTTACAATATTCTTTCAGCTCTTTTGAGATTCCTGTCATACCTGGGTCTATTTACATTGTTGAACTCATGCTGAGATGGATCACCTTCTTCTCTAAAGCATAACCTCCAGCAGCTGGTCAGAGTGGAAAGCCATTGGCTAGGTGTGAGGGTCTTCGCACCTGTAATTTCACCAGGGAATGAGGAAAGCCTAGAATACAAGTTCTCTAGGACTCTCCTAGTGCAGATTCCCATCTTTAGGCCGAAAGTCTTGTCCCTAAAAATAAATACGTTCCTACCTTTCCAACGGATGACGATTGTAATGTTGACCCCGCAGCATATTCCGACAGGGACTTCACAGCAAACATTTCCAGATTTCCTAATGGCCTTAATGACAGGACAGAATGATATGTGCAATATGCTTCATTGAATCTCTTCTTTTTAAATATATTTCAGTACTTCATGGATCAGTAGGAAATAGAGAAAAATTACTCTGATGGCAGACTTTATGGCAGGAGAATCCAGACAGGGGCCAAGTAGATTGAGCTTTCTGTTTCCTTGGGCACATTCTCATGGAAGTTCTTTTTTTTTTTCTTTAAAGAAATCGGAAAGCCGTGGTTTGGGGGGTCACTTCATCCAGGGGCCAATGCTACCTTGTCCGTGTTGTCAGGAAGATCCCCATCACTTAGACCGCGCAGCCCAAAGCTCCGTGCTGGTGGCGTCACATCTGTGGAGCATGGTGCCGGTGGCAATCAGCAAAGGTTATTTAACCAAATGGATATTAACCAGAGGACTACATGTTATTAAATGCCTAGATATAAGCTTACATTTGTAAATAAAAAACAAGTTTATCTCTATTGCAACAGTGCTGGATGTCTTCTTCCCATCAAATAACTGAATATATTTTCCCACCCAACGAAAGCAAAAAATACTCTAAGAACTAGTGCTGTAAATATGTTTACAAAAGTAAAACTGATCACATGCACACATGTATTTATTTCAGTATCTTGAGTAAGAGACATGTACCACGTTAATTTTATTGGAAATTAAAAGTGACAAAATGAGATGTATCTTCATTAATTTATACATATGCAAACATCCTCAATATGCATGGTGCTCTGGATGTTCATAGGTCATTTAGTTCAGCCACTTCAGAGTCGTTATCTGTTTCTTTTAGTCTCACATATTCTTTAATAAATTCCCAAAGGTTCCTTAAAATACATAAGAAATAAATATCTTAGATTAGCAAAAGGACAATTAAGCATAAAAGAAAATTTCAACATAAGCATCTATTTTAGGATACGTTTACTCAAAAACACGAACTGAGTCTTTGCAACGCTCCCCTTTCATTTCAGAGAATATTCCCGGCATAGCTTTGGCGTAGAACCAGCAAAGATCCTCCACACGGATGGATCAAGGAGAGGGTGGCGGCCGAGCAGATGGCATTTCCACTTTAGACCCATTTATTCTCCTTGCCGAGGCTGTGGCAGGAGCCGGCCCAGTTCTGTATTTGCATTTCTATACCTTCCTTCTCCTTTGAGGGCACCTACCATGTTGTGAAACCAGGGTCCACCTGTGTGGCTCACTCAGCACCTGCTCTAACGCCTTTTCCCCATGACTTTCTCTACCCCGTGAACTGGGAGTGAAATGTTCTATTATCTGGACTCCTTTGCAGCCAAGGATGGTCTGGGGACGCGGTGCTGACCAATGAGACACGCGTAGAAGACGCCGGGAAGGGCTTTTCTTCCTCAGTGAAACAAGCCTCATGCTGAGAAGCTGTTGGGGACCAGGTGTAAGCTGACATGGTCCTTGCACCTGAAGGGACTAGCTAAGCTAGGACCCTGACCCACACAGTTTTCCCAGACTTGTTTGGATGGCGGTTATCAGTAGAATGAGAGCAACCTTTGTAGAATGAGAACAGCCTTTCCTGGCTTATCAAGAAGTCTGTAACTATTTACTGAGATTTGCTGTACAGAGAATGTGTCCTTCTGCTCTGTCTCTCCCTTAGAGATTAAGAGGAACAAAGAATACATTCCTCTTGACAGACCTCCTATTCAGTGTCTTGTGTATAATAGCATTCTGTGGTTAATAAACTTGCTGCAGTTCCTCGTGAGCTGTAGTCCTCCCGATCCCGCTTTCCTGTCTTTCTTTTCTCAATTCCCACCTCCCTACCTCAGCCCGGCTCAACCTGTCAGGCTGGCCCTGAGAAGAAGCTTTTTGCCATTGCCCTTCCTCTCCCTTGTCTTCCTCCAGGGCACGTGGACCCAGCGCCTGAGCAGCCATCAGAGAGGCTCTGAGGAGAACTATACTCGAGGAAGAAAGATAGAAGAACGCGGTGTTTGATATCACTGAACCCAGCACACATCCGCGTTGCCTTTTGACTGTTGATACAAACATGCCCTTTCATATCTAAGTCATCAATGGTTTTCTGTTGCTCCCAGCCTTACCAAATTGTAAGATTTGAACCTTATTACAAACTCTAAGAACTTTAACTATATAAAGTCTCAACTTATGTGACAGATAATATAAACCAGCCATTTTATTTTTCAATTAAAAGCTTTAGAGCAGTGGTTCTCAACCTTCCTAATGCCGCGACCCTTTAATACAGTTCCTCATGTTGTGGTGACCCCCAATTTCATTGTTACAAATTGAACATAATTAAAGCATAGTGATTAATCACAAAAACAATATGTAATTATATATGTGTTTTCCAATGGTCTTAGGCGACCCCTGTGAAAGGGTCGTTCGATCCCCAACGGGGTCGCGACCCACAGGTTGAGAACCGCTGCTTTAGAGTAATGCATGTATAGAGTTTTTCGAAGATTTAATATCAATAAACACCATATAATTTGAGGAGGGAAAAGCGACCCACAGCCACAAGTCTCCCTAGCTTCCTGATCCCTGCCCATGAGAATCAACCCTTGACTCTTCAGCTTTTTTCAAAGTATTTATTTTTACATAGATGATAGATAGATACAGATATAGATATAGATATAGCTAGAGATAGATAGATAGATACATAGATGATAGATAGATAGATGATTGATAGATATAGATAGATAGATAGATAGATAGATAGATAGATAGATAGATAGATAGATAGATAGATGATATATAGTAGATGATAGATGCAGAACTTGATAAGGAATCAGCTTTTACTTTAGACATGATTTAAAGCTGCTGAGGGATTTTAAAAATGGAAGAAACATGATCTGAATTACCTTGCCAGAAGAGAGAGAGAGAGAGAGAGAGAGAGAGAGAGAGAGGTTTAAATCTTGGGCTAATCATTGCTAAGCATAGGAGGGGGTGTAACATTTCTATTAAAAGTTAAGACACATGAATATAAATACTTCACAAGTACTGTCTAGTTCAGCCGTGGGCAAACTACGGCCCGCGGGCCGGATCCGGCCCTTTTGAAAAAAAAAAAAAAAGACCGTACCCTTTTATGTAATGATGTTTACTTTGAATTTATATTAGTTCACACAAACACTCCATCCATGCTTTTGTTCCGGCCCTCCGGTCCAGTTTAAGAACCCATTGTGGCCCTCGAGTCAAAAAGTTTGCCCACCCCTGGGCTAGTCTCATCTCATTTTAAACACACGGTTTTGAGAACAACATGCGATTGTGCCAGTGCTTTCTCACAGCATCAGGACTTACAGCTGCTCCTCCCCACTCATCTCGCTCCTCCCCAGGAACTGCTTCACCTGGTTTTCAGCGGTCTGCCAAGAATTAAAAGTCATCTGGTCATGTATGCTGGCAACGATAATGCATCCAAATAGATGCCACTTCTAGAATCGGGCATAACATTCTACTTCCTACTATGTACAATACACAGAGAGATACATACACGATAGAAACAGAGTTATCATCTATTAAGCAGAAAATTGTTAGCAGGCATTTTGGAAGGGTATCCTGAAAGTTTTTTGAGGTGCCAGTCCATTATATTTCCTGTAACCAAATCAGCTCATTAAAAGTAATTATTATGTGCGGAAGGGTTAGAGAAATAGTAAATTCTGACAGACACATTCAACTATTTAGAAAGATTGTTTAATACATTAGCTTACACCTCTCTAATTTTGAGCTAATATCTACATAGCCAGCTATTCCTAGCATTACAGAAAGTTATCACTTAGAAAGCTAATGCATGTATTCTAATTTGATTTTTGACATAGTACAAGAAGGCACTAGAGAAAAAATGGTTCTATTGAAAAGCATTGATTCACAAAAACTTACATCTATTTTCTTCTTTAAAATAATATTTGCTCTTTCCAATTTTATAGTTTCAGTCTGTAGGGAAAAATGATTATAAGAGAAAGATACCTGGTTAATAATATTTATTAAATAGTTTCCCCATTTATGGAACAAAATATATTATGCTGTTATTCTGATTTCAAAAATACGAATTGCACACCACTTAAAACAGATGAATGAAAAAGTGTGACTGAGGATATGAAGTAAGACAGACAGATCCTGGTCCCTGGGTAATAAACTAGAAGAGGTGGAGACTGGTGTTGGAAAAGACCAGAGAATTTTAGGGAAATTTCAGAATAGAAGATTCCCTCACTTTTCAGAACTAATAATATAATTTGTTAAGGTGACAGGATACAATATAAAAATACAAATATCAACAAGTCACATATATACTAGAAATAACTGATTATAAACTGTAACAGTTGTTAAAGTTTTCATATACAATAGTAACAGATGCAATAAAGTCACAAAAATAAAAATAACAAAAAATATTTAAAAGCAATGCAGAAAATTAAATTAACATAAAATGATCCTTGATGGGAATGTTAACATTATAAAGCTGCCACTTGGTCCCTAATCCTATATAATAAAAGCCTAATATGCTAAGTGTCCAGTCGTCTGGTCATCCATTCAACCAATCAAAGCATAATATGCTAATGATAGGCTAAGGCCGCTCAACTGCTCACTATGATGTGCACTGACCACCAGGGGGCAGACAGTTGACCAGTCAACCAGTCACTATGATGTGCACTGACCACCAGGAGGCAGATGCTCCGACCAGTAGGTTAGCTTGCTGCTGGGGTCCAGCTGATTGGGACTGAGCGAGATGGGCTGAACATGCCCTGGCCAACCTCCCGTCTCCCTCCCCTGTCCCGATCGTGCACCAGTGGGGTCCCTTGGCCTGGCCTGTGCCCTCTTGCAATCCGAGACCCCTTGGGGGATGTCAGAGAGCTGGTTTCAGCCCGATCCCGCAGGCCAGGCTGAGGGACCCCACTAGTGCACGAATTAGTGCCCCGGGCCTCTAGTGAATTTTTAAATTCATTGGAAACCCAGTCAAAATGCCAAGAGTACTATTATTGAGACTTAAAAATGTAGTTAACCCTATGAATTAAAATATCCAACATCATTGTGAACAAATAATGATGAGCAGGGGTTGTAAAGACTTGCTCTCCCAGATATCCAACTTGAAAAGGATTGGCAATTACTCCAGCGAGGCTGCACGGCGTATAATTAAGACCTTGGGCTGCGTTTAAATCCTCACACTGCTACCTGCTCCCCGTGCCCCGAATCAAGTGACATAGCGTGTCTGTGCCCTGGTTTCCTCGCCGGGAAAGGAGGCAATAGCAGCAGCTCTCGCTTACTATCTCTACGGGCCGCTGACATTAAATGAAATGTATTTTTAAATGTTCGCAGCAGTATCTGGTGCATTGTTCATCGTTGATCCATTCAGTTATTTTTCACTGGGTTAGAAACAATGTATTATTTGAATTTAGGAGCCAAGTATGAGTAATAAAAAAACTAATATAAGTTCATGATATGGTATCATTATAGGGCGTCTTCTATTTCATTGATTCAACCCATTTAAAGAGATGGCAATTATGAAAGGAAAGTTTATATGACTTTGGCATCATGTTTATAATATGTAAAGCTATAACTCTATTATTTTCGGTTTAAAAATTCAACTATAAATTAGTATCTGTTCTCAGGACATTATTTAATTGTTGTTGTTTTTTAAAAAAAAAAAAGAGAGAGAGAAGATTCTAATGGAAAACACAGAAGGAAGTCTGAACATATGATTTTAAGAGAGAAAGAGACATCAAAGCAAGTCTGGACCACTACCACCTTCCCATATACTTTATAATTCTGCTTAAAAGAAAGAAAAAGTGGTGCTGGCAAAATATATGTAACCGTGTAACCACAATAAGAAAGAATAATCCCATGTCAATGATAAACTCCGTAACTAGAGGTTAAATTGAGTCAGATTCTGCCCAAATAAAAGTGAGGAGATAATATAGGCACCATAGCATTTTAAAACAGACTATAATGTACAATATATTATTGTTCAACAAAATTGATACAATCATTGTCAAAAACTGCTTTTAACTCAGTAGACTCTCCTTTCAATGGCCCTCCCTCACTCAGTCCCCTCTGCCTGCCGAACCGCACAACTAACTCAAAGTCTAACTCTGAGGCCAACATGTCGCAGCGGAAATTACAGGGGCTGGAGCCCCAACAGAATTAAGCTTGAACCCAACTTTGTCACCTCTACACGGTTCCATCGTGGGCGGGTCACCTGACTGCTCTGAGCCACACTTAAACTACTTAGGACACACTCGACACTAAATGATGACCGTTCATTCCATAACAAGAATTTTCTATACAAAACACTAAACTTTTCAACGGACCTGAAAGAGATTTGACCCTTAACCGAACTCTACAGAATTGTTTATCACCTTCATTTTGTTTTATTTGTTTAAATCTCTTAATTATTCTAAGCATTTCTTCATCATTGGCTACAAATGTCTATACATGTGAAACCTTAAGCGACCAGAACAACCAGAACAGCCAGGATGACCGGAATGACCAGTCGCTATGGAGTGCACTACAGGGGACGGGGATGGCTGGCCAACCTCCCTCGGCCCCTCCTCCTGGCCGGCCCCATCCCTGATCGGCCCCCCCACCCCTACCTGGGGCAGGGCCGGCTGGCCAACCTCCTTCAGCCCCTCTCCCTGCCAGCCCAGCCCTCATTGGCCCTGATCAGGGCAGGGCCAGCTAGACCCCACCTGTGCACGAATTTGTGCACCAGGCCTCTAGTTTTTAAATAAAAACATATTTGCACCAAATTTTATGTAATTGTTTATCCTGTTGCAAATGAGATCA